AAACAATAAATTGCATAGAAGAAAACATAGGTACTAAAATCATGGACCTTGGACTTAAAGAGGATTTTATGAATTTGACCTCAAAGGCCAAGGAAGTAAAAGCAAAAATAAGTGAATGGGACTATATCAAACTGAAAAGCTTTCTGCTCAGTAAAAGAAACCATCAACAAGGCAAAGAGGCAGCTATCCAAATAGGAGAATATATTTGCAAACAATGCCTCCAATAAGGACCTAATATCCAAGATATACAAAGAACTCATACAACTCAATAACAACAGAAAAACAAGCAATCCAATTTAAAAATGGGCAGAGGACCTCAACATGAAGACATACAAATGATCAACAGACATATGAAAGGATACTCAATTTCACTAGTTATTAGGGAAATGCAAATCAAAACCACAATGAGATGCTATCTCACACCTGTTGGAATGGCTGTTATCAACAGGACAAGTAATAAGTGTTGGAGAGGACGTGGAGAAAAAGGAACCCTCATACACTGCTGGTGGGACTGCAAATTGGTACATTTACTGTGGAGAACAGTATGGCGCTTTCTCAAAAAACTAAGAATTGAACTACCACACTATTCAGCAATCCTTCTACTGGATATTTACCCCCCAAATCTGAAAACATTTATCTGAAAAGATATATACACACTGATGTTCATAGCAGCATTAATTAGGGTGGCCAGGACATGGAAGCAACTGAAGCGTCTTACAATAGGTGATTGGATAAAGAAGCTGTGGTACATATATACAATGGAAAATTAGGCTCCTATAAAAAAATTTATTGTTTATTAAACACACAAATATATATACATATTTTGAGGGTCAAATTTACATTAAAAATACATTAAAAAGATCATACACTATGATCAAGTGGGATTTATTTCAGGGTTGCAGGCATGGTTCAGCATCTGCAAATCAATCAGTGTGATAAACCAAATTAACAAAATGAAAGATAAAAATCATATAATCATCTCAATAGATACAGAAAAAGCATTTGACAAAATTTAACAAAGGCGACATATGATAAACCCACAGCTAACATCATACTCAATGGTGAAAAGCTGGAAGCTTTACTTCTAAGATCAGGAACAAGACAAGGATGCCATCTCGTGCTCTTTTTATTCAACATAGTATTGGAAGTCCTAGCCACAGCAATTGGGCAAGAAAAGTAAATAAAAGGCATACGAGCTTAATTAAATTCAGAAGTTATGGATGACTGACTGCTACAAAACTCTTGGCCACTGAGCAAAGTGCCTGTTGCACATGTGCACTTAAAGACAGTTGGATTTCTGGCGATTTGGGGGAAAGACACTTGGTCATCAGGGTTTCATTAGGGTTGGTGGATCTCCTCCTGAGTTCCAGTGGCTGCCATTCTGTCTTTTTAATTATGAACTACTGTTAGTTTAGTTTTATCATTAATATAGTTTGTTATGTGTTTGGTTTACCCCGTGGTGGTTAATGATGAATATTTACCTCTACAGTGTTCTGGCCTATAATTTTTCCAGGAACTAGAAGACTGTGAAAAAACATGTGCTTCCTATAAAAACAGATATACAAGTTGGAAAGGAAAAGAAGAAGTAAAACTGTCTCTATTTGCAGATGACATGATACTATAGATAGAAAACCCTAAAGATGTCATGAAAAACTATTAGAACTAATAAGTGTTCAGTAAAGTCACAGGATATAAAATTTATATACAGAAATCAATTACTAATTAGCTATCAGAAAGAGATATTAAGAAAAAATCCCATTTACAATTGCATCAAAAAAATAAAATAAGGAGTAAATTTAGCCAACTAGATGAAAGACCTGTACTCTGAAAACTAAAAAAAATTGCTGAAAGAAATTGAAGTTGACACAAATAAGTGGAAAGATATATTGTGCTCATGGATTGGAAGAATTAATATCATTAAAATGTCTATAGTACCCAAAGCAATGTACATATTTAATGCAATCCTTATCAAAATACCAATGGCATTTTTCACAGAACTGGAACAAAGAATCTTAAAATTTATATGGAAACACAAAAAACTTTGAATAGCCAATTTCGAGAAAGAAGAACAAAAATAGAAGCATCCTGTTCCCTTATTTCAAACTACGAAGCTATTGTAATCAAAACAATATGGTACTGGCATGAAACTAGACATATAGATCAATGTAAGAGAATAGAGAGCCCAGAAATAAAGCCACACATAAATGTTCAATTGATCTGTATCAAAGGAGGCAAGAATATACAATTGAGAAAAAAGTCTCTTCAATAAATGGTGTTGGGAAAACTGGACAGCTACATGTAAAAGAATGAAACTGGACCACTATCTTACACCATATACAAAAATAAATTCAAAATGTATTAAAGACTTGAATATAAGACCTGAAACTATATAACTCCTAGAAGAAAACACAGGCAGTAGCGTATTTGACATCAGTCTTAGTAATATTTTTTTAGACCAGTCAATTTAGGCAAGGGCAACAAAAGCAAAATTTAACTAATAGGATTATGTCAAACTAGAAAGCTTTTACTCAGTGAAGGAAACCATCAACAAAACAAAAAGACAATCTACTGAATGGGAGAAAATATTTGCAAATCATACATTTGATGAGGGATTAATGTCTAAACTATACAAAGAATTTAAACAACTTATATTTTAAAAAAAGATTAAAAAATGGGCAGAGGTCTCGAGTAGACATTTTCCCAGAGATTTCCAGATGGCCAACAGGCACATGATAAGATGTTCATCATTACTAATCATCAGGGAAATGCAAATCAAAATTACAATTACTTCATACCTGTCAGAATGGCTCTTATCAAAAAGACAAAAAATAACAAGTGTTGGTAAGGATGTGGAGAAAGGGGAATCCTCATACACTGTCGATGGGATTGTAAAATGGTGCAGTCACTATGGAAAATAGTATGGCGGTTCTTCAACAAATTAAAATTAGAACTGTCATACAATCCAGCAATTCCACTTCTGGGTATTTATCCAAAGAATACAAAAACACTAATTTGAAGAAATATATGCACCCCTATGTTTATTGCAGCATTATTTACAATAGTCATGTATGGAAGCAACCTAAGTGTTTATTGATAGATGAATAGTATAGAAAGATGTGTTATATATATAAATTATAATATTACTCAGTCATAAAAAAAAGTATGAAATCTTGTCTTTTGCAACAACATGGATGGGCCTGGAGAGTATTATGCTTAATGAAATAAGTCAGATAGAGAAAGACAAATACCATATGATTTCACTTATATGTAGTATTTATATATATATAAAGTTTAGTGTGGTTCTTATACATATATATGTGTGTGTATATCTACATATACATATATACATATACATATATATACATATACATTATATATGTATATATATAAAACACATGAACAAACAAAACAGAAACAAACTCATAGAAACAGGAAATAAACTGGTGGTTACCAGAGGGGGGATCTTAAGGAGTGGATGAAATAGGTGAAGGGGATTAATAGGTACAAACTTCTAGTTGTAAAATAAATAAGTCATGAAGATGTAATGTACAGCATAGGAATATAGTTAATAATATTGTAATAATTTTGTATGATGATGGATGGTCACTAGACTTGTCATGGGGATCATAAGTATCAAATCATTGTGATATACATCCGAAACTAATTAGATATTATATGTCAATTATACATCAATAAAAGAATTGAGATTTGACATGTATATTAATAACATTTTCATTCTTTTGGTTTTTCAGATCTTGCTGCAGTTGTCAGACTATTTTGTTTCACAACCATATTCTCTCTTCTCTTTTTTGCAAATATTTCACTAGTAAGGAAAATCAATCAAACTGTTTATGAATCGTTTTATACCATATGTAGTTTTGAACTGTATTTAGCTTATCAAGTAAAATTTTATTGTATTCCTACATTTATATGTTGAGTTTACTCACTTATTTCTGTGATAGTAGTCCTGAGTGTCTCTTTGAATCTCTGTCATCCCCGGAAGATAGAATGAAAATTCCACTGCACTTTTTATTTCCCATTTTCACATGTTATCCTGCTTCAGTGCCTGTAGATATCCTTACTAATAGGGTACCAAAGGAGTGTGATTATAAAACATATAACTTTGCTTGCCTCCTTTCCTTTCACTTTCTTTCTTAATTAATTGTTTTCATTTTTATTTCGAATTTTTAAATATAAAAGTGTATGGAAAATGATATAATAAATATCCATGTACCCACACCTAGAATTAATAAATATTAACATTTTGGTATTCAGCTTAATATTTATGCATATGTGTATATAGTTATATGTTTGAAATAGAAAATTTCAAATAAAGTTGAAGTCCTTTCTGTTTTCTTCCCTAGTTTCATTTTTCTCCTGCTCTCCATAGAGACAAGCAGAGTATAAAATTCACCTATACCCTCTCAATCTACACTTAATTTCTACTACATATACATGTATCCATCTGTTCAGTGTATTCAGAATCTATTTGCTTAGTACTGTTTAGTGTGGTTCTTAAAATTTTACCAAATAAGTTCTCTCCTATATGTATCATTTTGCGATTTGCTTTTTCAACCAACGTTAAGATTTATGCATGTTCATACCTACAGGTTTAGTTCACTTATGTAACTCCACTATCTCAATGATCAAAATTGTACGATTTATCTATTTTCTTTTAATAGATCTTTAGCTTGTTTTTATTTTTCTTTGCAAATAGTTGGCTGGCTTTCAGTCTGAAGTCAATCAATCAACAGGGCTTACTGCAACTTTACTCAGGCACCCAGCCTTTTCCTAAAGAGTTGACATTCTAGTAGGGGACACCAAATTTATAGACCTGGCCAGTATAGAAATAAGATGGTGTAGAAACTGAACTCTAATCCCTATTGGATAGCTTTTTCTGGTCGACTCTTAAGGTCTTTTGTTTGCAGGTATGATTTATATAAAGTTAAAGTGCTTTCAGAATAAATCTTGAACTTCTTAAAATAATTTGCTTCTTTTAGGTGCTTGTTTAAACTGCCAGGAAAATAGCAAAGGGGATCACTGCGAAGAATGCAAAGAAGGATTTTATCAGAGTCCTGGTGCCACTAAAGAATGTCTTCGCTGCCCTTGTTCAGCAGTGACATCTACAGGCAGTTGTATCATAAGTAAGGCCTTTCTCTAAATCTTCATTTTTAGAGGAAAAATCAATGAATCAGTTATCAATAAATATAAAGTGTGTTGATAAAGTTATGGATGCTTTAGGTGAAAAGGTGTTATAAAAACAGCAAAGGGTTTCCTTTCTAGGAATTTGCAATCAAATCCAATTACACATAAGAAATGAGACTTGAGTTTTTGTTGAAACCATTTTTTACTTTGTCATGACTAAAGAGGAAGAGATAGAAAAATTATGAATGCCTGTCCATTGCAATTTATATAAGCATATTTCTTTTCTCAAAGTAAACTGTACAATTAACAAAGTGTTTATTTGTTTGATTGCATGTGTCTCTTAAGTTTGAGGGGAGATAGTACGGAGGGCTTATGAACCTTTTTGAGTACTAGTAGATGTTTTTCATTTTCAATTGTAGCTTGAGACTGTATTAAATCATTTCGGTATTCTCTCTGTTTTAGAATTGGGTGAATCGGAACCTAAATGTGTCCAGTGTAAAGATGGTTACACAGGCCAGAACTGCAATAAGTGTGCAAACAGCTATTACAATTATGACAGCATCTGTATTAAGTGCCAATGTCATGGCCACGTGGACTCAATTAAAACTCCAAAGATTTGCAAGCCTGAGAGTGGTGAATGTATCAACTGCCTCCATAACACCACTGGGTTTTGGTGTGAGAACTGCCTAGAAGGTTACGTTCGAGACCTCGAAGAAAATTGCATCAAGAAAGGTAAAACTTCACCTAAGGTTGTAAATTTAATATCTAAGCCTAGCATTGAAAATTTCAGGACAGCTACTTTTATCTTTGTAAAACCTTCCAATCCCACCAGAGGAGTTTTCTGGAAATAGATTTTGAATTTTGATAGATATTTGCCTAAAAAGATTTCCTTCCATACCTGCTGCTCTCCTGATACTCCAAAGTCAACTCCAGAGATTTGAGGACCAAGACAGAGTCATTACAGTGTTCTCACATTTTCTCTTCATCTATTTTTATTTTTATGTTAATAATTTAAAAGTTCTATCATTTTTTTTTATCCTTTACTTCCTGTATTCTCATCACCTCCAGTGATCACCAAAGGTCTTTTAAAGTAGGAACTGTAATCTGGTTAGAAGTTCCAGCTGAGAAACAAGAGTTCATTCTAGCATCTGTCCTAACTTTGGGCCTAAGTTTTACCATTCGTGATAGAGGAAATAGTAATAATATTCCTTTTGATTTTTAAAAGAAAAAGTTATTAATATGGCAAAATGTTCCTTACAGAGAGGTTCAGTAAGAGTTTAGATATGAATTAATGATTAGAAATTCAGGGCAAATTCAGGCTTTATTAGGTCACAGAGAAATTAGACCATGTTCTTCTATAAACCACTCTTTGATATTCTGACAGATGCTGAATATTGGTCTAATGGAAAGTTGGTCTGTGGCAAGTGTCATCCTTTTGCCATTTTCTTGATATCTTTATTCATTTGTGATCAAGGCTAAAAGACTCAGATTGAACCCTATCACTAGACTGGAGATCCTGTCACTCAGTTATCGTTCTCATTCTGAGACTGACAGGCCTGTGATGATTTTTCTTATTAGATTAAATAACATAAAACATGCCTCTTTTTAGAGGCATAGACTGATGTGGCTGACTGTGATGATGAATTATAATGATAATAATTATTTTATTGAGTGACTACTATGTGCCAAGCACTGTAAACATTAAATATGATAATGTTATATAGTATGTTATCTCATTTAACCTTTCCCAAGAACTTTGCAAAGTAGATATTATCCCCATTTATAGATGAACCTCAGTTTTAAAAAGATTGACTGACTTGTCTGTAACCACACAGTTCTACTTGATTCTAGAGCCTCCGGTATTTCCACCAAACTATGCTGCACTAGAAGAACAAAGTATAGCACCTTAATTATAAAATTGTTATAATCTGCATAAAGGAAAAATTACTACACGTGCAATTAAAGGAGGGTCTTTTTTCTCTTGGCCTACATCAACTTTGGACATTTAAATTGTGTTATTCAGAAGAACTAGAAATACAATTTTCCTGTTTTGTTCTTGCCTCCTTTGAAGAGAATTTTACCTTTTTGAAATGGCATCAGACATGCTGAACTTATTTTAGTTCAAATGATTGTCATCTATTCCTGCCACTTTTAACCAAGTGATTTAGAGCTCACTAGTGACATATTTACTGCCTTTGCAGGAATTCATATGAATCTACACAAGAATAAAGAAGGATGGAAAATTCCAACGTTAGAGTATTTACAAAGATTTTAATTTAGATAGTATACATTTCAGACAACAACCACGGATGTAATAATCAAAGCTTCTAGATCCTGATTCTTTTCACTATATTTCTTTAACACTTATTTTTAACGCATGCTCTTAAAGCAGAATATCATGTCAACATGCCATATCAACTTCCACTCCCATGTATTTCTTTTATTGTTTCTTAAAACTAGATAATTTTGTCTTTTACATTTCATTCTCTGTTTTTATTTTCAGAAGTTATTGTTCCAACACCTGAAGGTTCTACCATTTTGGTTTCCAATGCCTCTTTGACCACCTCAGTGCCCACCCCTGTTATAAATAGTACCTTTACCCCCGCAACCCTGCAAACTATCTTTTCAGTAAGCTCTGCTGAAAACAGCACGTCAGCTTTAGCTGATGTATCATGGACCCAGTTTAACATCATCATTTTGACTGTCATTATCATTGTGGTGGTGCTGCTGATGGGATTTGTGGGGGCTGTGTACATGTACCGGGAGTACCAAAACCGGAAACTCAATGCCCCGTTTTGGACCATCGAGCTGAAAGAAGACAATATCAGTTTCAGCAGCTACCATGACAGCATTCCCAACGCAGACGTGTCAGGATTGTTGGAAGATGATGGCAATGAAGTGGCTCCCAATGGGCAGCTGACCCTGACGACACCCATGCACAACTACAAAGCCTGAGGAGCCAGAACTCTTCTCCACAGTGCTCACTAAGACAGTGTCAGTCTCTGGACCAGACAAAGCTGGGTAGATTTTGCTGAGAAAGCAAAGGCATATAGTGCATCTGAGATTTTCAGGTACAAATTCATAATGTATTTATACTATTCCTCTTAGTTTTCCTGTGAAGATCTGAAGTAGTCACTGTCAATAAGGACTTGAAGTAAAGTATATTTTTGTACCAAACCACATGGGAGTAGAGAAAGGCTAAACCCCATAGTGCAGCCCCAATCCACTTTGACCTTCAAATAGACTCCTGAGGAGTGTCCACTCAACCAGCGGAAACAGGATGATGGATGTGGAGGGGGAGAGGACTGCCGGAAGACTTCATTTCCATTCCTGAAACACATTTTTTAAAAGGAGAGTCAGGGATGGTATTCGTTTTACTGTACTGAAAGACACTGAGGAAAAGCTGATGTCGGGGCTGTATCACAATAAACAATCTTGATTGTTTCCAAAATAGGATCAGAAAAGTTCCAAGAAGGTCTTTAGAAGGGTTCCACGATTCTTGCTTGGATTATAGCACAGGATAAACTTCTAATGGTAGAGAGAGGAAGGCAACATCTGGGAACAGGAAGCTGATAGTTCTTCTTAGGGTCTCAGTGTAAATGATAAATTGTCTAGAAATAAGGAATATTCCTGCCTCTAGGAAATAAGGTGTATATAGTAAATGTAGCATATCCGGTCAACATTGTATTTGTATCTATTTGTAAAAAAAAATCACGTCATATTTTATCATCTAGAATGTATTTGTACAGCAGTTGATGGCGTTGTAAAAAGGAAATATGCAGATTGGTTAAAAATACTGTAAAATAGATGGCAATATGGCTAGAGCTGGGACTCTGGTGAGCATCAGTCATTTTAGTCCCTCTTTGGACATTGTTGAAATTTATAAGAGGTTGAATGTTTCTAATCTTTCTTTTCATTTCTCAATCTAAAAGTAGAGTTATGTGTTCTTTGACTTATTATAGATTCAAGCAATAGATTTTGAAGTGGATGATTATTAAGCTGGGACACGGGCTGCACTCTCCATGCTACTCACCTAATTAGACATTAGCTACTCTATATATTTCACATAGATTAATGTAGAACATATCCTCATTAAAAATGGGTTTTTTAAATGTAAAAGATAGTCTTCCAAAGGAATTAGAATATTTTAGTTCCAAAAGAAAAGCCATCATATCACTTGGGGTCCCCTGTTTTCATGCCCGTGAAATATTTATATTTCTTCTCGCCCCCCCCCCTCCGCCCATAGAAAAATACCTCCTACATTTAAACATAGCCTATCACTCATATGCCATGAGGCATGTACCATCTCTCTGCAGTTTTACCATTCTGTCTTCTTGTCCGGTTAGGGGTAGCATTATAGTTGAGTGGATATGGTTAGTCCTGGCTTTTAGATGCACTTTTCTCTTAGAGAACATCTGCTGTTGCTCTCATCTATCATGATATTGACAGACTCTGGATTAAATAAGCCAGGAAAAGTGGCCAGAAATCAAATATAGGTACGTGTTAGGGGAAACAGCAAACTGTCAAGTGGTAGGAAGAAAAAATCAATAGACCCAGGAAATCCAAGTTGACAACTTGGCCTGACTTCCCCAGAGAAAAACCTGGAATTTGGCCGTACCTCTGTAGGAGGCCACTAAGTTGTTCTCAGGGTTCGGAGATGATGCTCCGGAGGATGAACAGGCAGATAAGCTACTTCTGGTAACCTGAGGTGCTTTGGATACTTGGCCATTGCTCATGAGAATATAGATTACTTTATGTTACATTGTATTAAAATAAACCAATATTTCTATAGCCCTTTCAAGGCATCTTTCCATATGTGTGTCTTTCGAACCTCATCGTAGCCCCTGAGGGAGTAATTGTTATCCCCATTTTATAGATGAGGTTAACTGTCTTGTTCAAGGCTACACAATATATCATTATTAGGCTTGGAATTAGGACTCTGAAGCACATATACTTTCAACTATATGCTAATGCAGAAATTGCCTGGCCACAGACACAGATGGCTGAGAGGAAGAGTTCCATCTGTAAATGCTTCTAATTGTTCTAAGTACAAGGTGCCATCTAGGGCCATATGGCTACGAAGGAATTTGTGGAAAGAACACAGGATAACTCTCTGAAGCCAGGAGATAAGAAAGTAAAAACACCAGTTTGTGCTTCACTAAAGTGAACTAGCCCTTCCAAGCAGGGAGAGAAAACCTGCTTTCCCTAGCAGCTGTCAATTATGTGTGTGCAAGGCTGTGTGTTGCACAATTTTAAGGAACTGTGCAAAGTGGCGTACTTACCTGCCTTTTCCCTAGATTACCACCCCTGTAAAGCCAGGGATTTAAGATGCTGAGAAGTAAACATTTGTTAAACAAAAGTTAACCCAACAGAGAAAGAAGGATTGTTTATTGGGATCTAAGAACCAAAGCCAAATAGTTTAGATTTTGGCCATTCCTTGAAACAGACTTTAAAAGATATCACAAAAATTCAATCACAAAGAATGTTTATCTTTAAAAACTTGCAAACAGTCCAAGATCATGTTTTTAATTTTTCCCGCTGAAAAAAATTAAGGACTTAAATTTTGAAAATTAATGTTATTTTGTGTCCTTTGCTTTTTGCTGGTGGAAATAATTTTGTTTTAAAATAATCAATCACGAAGTGATCTACCACCAAAACCAGATGAGAAAACCAGTATGGAGTGCATTACACAATATTCATTCTTCTAAAGGCACGACCCCCGTGAACTGTGGCATTCAGCACCAGGCTCCTCCCATCAGTCCTTTACGAAGACTAATATTGGAATAGTCTTTGTCTAAAGATTAGAAATGTGTTTATTTTCAAATAAGACAAGACTAGTGTGAATCTTATTGATAAATGAGAAGGATACAGGTATTAAGTGATACTTTTATCTTCATTAACTCATTTTAATAGGCCTTTAAGCATTTCTGACAGATGCCCTAGGTAGTGTTGTTAGGTATGTCTGTCCTCCCTTATTCCCTCCCTCCCTCCATGCTCTAGCTCCCAGAGGTCTCTCAATGGAATTTCTCCAGTTATAGAGGAAAATAATAAAAACTAAACCTCATTTATACTAAAGTCCTATGGACTTACTGTGTTACTCCTAGGGATACCTGAATTTTCAGATAGGAGAACAAAGCAGATAGAAGGCAAGAGAGAGATATTTTGGGAGAGGATTCGTAGAAGCATAAAATTATATGGCACTTTCTAGCTCCATATATTCCCAGGAAATTGACCATTAAAAAAACACTTGGTGACTCATGAGTTTGTTTGGGTCAGCTGAATGCCTTCAGGACATTTAGCCCTTGTACCATTTTGGCGGCAGAGAGCTAAACCAACAGTACTTCCTCCTGAGAGCCTCAGCTGGGATTGGGTTATTAGATCATTCACCTTGCTCCCATGTTGCTTGTAGGGTACATGGTGAACATAACACCACTTGTAAAGAATATTCCTGGCTCATACATTTTGAGGTATGTGGGTAGGAGCTGAATCGACACATCTCAAGGAAAGCTCAATGACAAAAGTTCGGAGAAGTAAAAAACAACCCAATATAACTTATTAGAGCAAGGAAAGCATTTCCGGCCTCATCCGTGAAGAACCTTTGGTCTGTTATGATGCTGATAGTAAGGAGTTTGGGATCTAAAACGAGTTCGGTGAAGTGCAGGAGAGTACTGGAAGGCCAGTGCAAGTTTTCAACCCTGAGCCAGTGACTATGCCAAGGGGAAAAGCAGGAAGAACACACTGATTCATCTGAAGAAGTCAAATAATACCAAATGGACTAAAGGTTATGGATCATCAAAATGTCAGTGGTTGAATGATGGTTTTTCAAAGACATTTGGGAATCTTTCTTGCTACTTGTGCGTACGCAGTGACTGCGACAGTAGCCCCAGCACGTGAGCCCAGGGATTCAGATTTAAGTAAGTCCAAAAGGTAAATGATTTAAAGTTAAATTTTAATGCTGGGCACAAGCACTCTGTAATACATTAAATTTCAGCCCAAGCAATTAGGGAATGGTTCTGAAGTGTTAAACTTGTATTTATGTCACTAAAATTCTAACCAATTTAAAAACGTGTCTCATACATATGCTGTACTAGGCTTCATGATGCATTTCTAAATTTGTGTATGATTTGAATATATAAAAGAATTTATACAAGAGTGTTATTTAAAATTATTAAAAAATAAATGTATATAATTTGTACCTATTGTAGATTTGTTTTACTTTTTTTATGTGGTCAGAGTTGTTGGAAGTCTTTTAATATATATCAGAGATCATTTATTTTTAAACCACTTCATGAAAATCATTGAACTCTTCATTTACTGACCATACTTCTTAAGAAGTTCCTTTAAAGAATGTTTTCTACTTAGGAAAAATTGCCCCATGAAGAAGATTCCCCCTCTTAAAACAAAACAAAACAAAACAAAAACAAAAACAGCATACCTTAAGAAAAAGGCATATATTAACATATAGTCTTGTTTGTGCTTTTGCTTTTTGCCTGTGATCCTTGGGATTTCCATGAAAATGTTATAGAAAGCACTTGCTCCTTTTGGATTTTTCATACATGTAAAAAATTTCCTTTAGTACAAATTCAAAGAGCCACAACCAAGTTCTATGTATTTATTAGATAACTAGTAAGGAGAATACACCTTTATTATTTTGAAGTACTGTTGAAGACCCTCTATTTTGACAAAGTTCAATGGTGTTTAATGGGATGCCACTTAGAGATCCAAGGGATACTTTGAAAAAGAAGAAAAACTAAAGCCTTTCTTTGTGCTGAGATTTTTATAAACTTCAATTGGTTTATTCAACTTTAGTTGTTGATATTTAATCTTTAAAACCATTTTTTATTTTCTAGGTCACACAAGAAAACAAGTTTTATTACTTTATAATCCCACCTCATATTTATAATACCACCATATATTTACATATATATCCTATACCTGTAGTTCTATGATATATGTGAATTGGGTATTATTCTAAGGAAACAGAATAAGCATGGCAGAAATCTAAGCAAATTAAAATTTTAAGAAAAAGTAAATCTACAAATTTACCACAGCAAGAGGAAACATTGTCAGAAACATGACTTTTATATTTTTAATGCTTTTGATAAAAGTCTATCAAGTAAGATTGCATTATAAAAATTGGCTGTATTCAGTTTTGATAGTATAAGTTGTATATGTTTTAAAAAATTACACATGCTTTATTATAATTGAATCAGTAACTTCAGAGTAACAACTGTGCTTGGTTACATAAAAAATAGTTAAGCTAAATTCAAAACAATGTTTTTCATGAGATGATAGTATGTGTTAACTGATAAACTGAAAAGCAACATTCTCAGTGAATGTTAAAAAATCATAAATTTGTTAGTTTTTCAAGGCAATTTTATGAAGAAATTGTCATAATTATTGTACAGGCTTTCTTATACCCCCGCCTACAAAATGAAAGTCATCAGAAAATGTTAAATTTAAAATGTGTTGCCTGCTTGTGTTAATAAGTAGATTTAAAAATCTTGTAGGTTGAATGCTGAACTTCAGACAGTTGCAGAAAAAAACGGCAAAATATTTTCTTTGTATGTAGTAAGAGTAGGTTTGGGTAATAAAGGAAGTGTTTGGGAGGAAATCTCCTTTTGTGGTTTCCTTTGTGTTGTCAGACCAACTGCTAAATTTTTATACGACAATGTTGTTTTTCTTAGTCTCTGCCCCAAGTCAGGAAGAGCCTTGGCCTTTCCTTAGGTTCACTGCCATTCTAACCCAACCATGTTAAACTCATATATAACTTCTTATATATGCCAGCTGTATGATGTCTTTCTTCCTTTGTTGGTCCTGTTTCTTCTATCTATCACATCCCGGAGAATGTTCCTTCATTCTTTACAACCCCTTGACAAAAGAAAGTTAATCAATCCTAATTCTATCTCCATTTGTCTAATGAATACTTCTCTTATTGCACATATTTATTTTATTGTATATACTTGTCATTTTATGTCTTCCTCAGTGTATTCCTTGAAGCCAGAGCATTACTATCTCTAGTACCTGGCGTAGTGCTGGCACATTGTGGCTGCTCAGTAAATGGGGGTTTAAAACAAAAAGTACTTGACAGATACATACGAGAGGTGATATGTGAATTTATTTAGTGAAGTATTATAAGAAATCATATTCAGTGGGTAAAATTAACAGAGATGTCAGCATAGTGGCTTCAGAGGATCTGAGAAACTCTTGAAATCATGCTGTTTTTTTTTTTGTGAATACAAACAATTTGTGTGTGTGTGTGCTTTCTGGAGAAAAAGGTCCATACTCTTAATCATAGTCTACAAAGTATCTATGATCCCAAAAGGATTGACAACTACATGGGTGGGGATTAATTTGTGTATTTCAGTAATAACAACCCTCCCATCAAATGTAAATCAGTACGGCCTTGATATAAGAAGTCCACTTCTGGGACTCTCTTGTAAAGAAATGACCTAAAAAGCAGAGACTTCTGTGCAAAAATGTCATCTCCCCCGCCCCCAGAGTTGTGTATAAAGTTAAAAAAAATTGGGACAAACTCTAGGTGTTTCTAAGAGGATGTGGCTTAGTGCCACATCTTGTTGAGATAGCATACAGTCATTAAAAAGAATTAAGAAGAATGATTAATAACCATCAAAATTAAGTGAAGAAAAACAGGATCTCTTGAAGAAATGCATACAGTCCCACTTCTAATATATAGTTTAGAGAAACTTTTATCTACATTTCAAATTCTTTATTGAAGCATCATTTGTTAAAGCAAAATAATTTCAAACACCCCAATTGTCAGTAGAAGAATGTATAAACTGTGGTCTATCCGTATACTTTGAACAGAATTTTATGCAGTAGTCGAAAATGAATGAATTACAACTATACATCAATATAGATGAATCTCAAAAACATAATGCCAAGTAAAATGAATCATAGAGAATATATACAATATAATTTATATAATGGCCAAAAATAGAAACTGGAATATGTTGCTTAAATATGCATACATATGTAGGAAAACTATAAAGAAAAACAAGGAAATGATTAATACAAGAGTAAAGATAACTTCGGAAGGGAGGGGGGATGCACAGATAACTTCAGAAGTATTGGTAATGTTCTTTAGTAGTGTGTATGTACATGCATTTTCATCGTATCCTTTTAAAAACACGATGTGTGAGTGTACATGCACATGTGTACTCTGGTATATATGTAACATTTTGTAGTGAAAAATTTTAATAGGATATAAACTGGTGAATACAATATGAGTTCAACTATGTTGGAAAAATACACATAGGAAATGTTTGGAAGGAAATACCATAACTTGGTGATATCTATACTAATGAAACAAATCCACTGCGTTTTATTTTATAATGGTAAAAAAATAAATTCAGCAGG